TAGAGTGATAAAAAGGGGTAAGGGTTATCAAGAGGTACATCATATGCATGTATAGACATGTCAAAATGACCGTCCCCCCTCCTCAATACAGCTAATGGATGCTAATGAAAAATGAGGGGAAACCACTGTACTGTAATTAAAACTTCCCAACTCCTCCCAGGTGACCTCAGCCCTGGTAGACTGGACTAGGAAGAGGAATGTCTCCCAGGCCACCGCAGCAAGTCCTCTAAGTCCAAAGGCATCCTGAAGGCCAAAGAGAATTTATTCTGTGCCCTGAGCCTGCCATGGGGAAGAAGGTAATTTAGTTCCTCTTCCCTATACAAAGGTGTCAGTCCACTGACCTTGGATTTCTAACAGGTGCTTCAACTGGGCACTCCTTCCTTGGACCCACAAATTCATGAAAGAAAAAAAAAAAGCCGGAGAAAAGCTTGGTGTCTCTTCCTCCATTTGCATCACTTTGTAATCACCTTTGGCTTCCAAGAAAGGACAGGATGGACTGATAACATCTTTATGACAGGAGACAGACTACCTCAGGGATAGCAGAACCTAAGCAGGACAGACCACTCCCAAATGAGGATAATTACCTGTAATGAGGTGATGGAACCCTGGAGCGGGAGGCAAGTCTCATGGGAACCAGATCAGTCAGAGACTAGGGATAAGAATATCTCTGGGAGAACCAGAAACCAGATAATAACCAGCCAGACCACACCAAGACTCCTTAACAATGCATTCCTTTGCCCCCTGCACCCCCCCCATCACAATAGTTCTTCTTGTATGATACATAATCTATCCTTTCTCTGTCCTTCATTGAATCTCATTTGCTCAGACCAAGCCAGACATAATTCTTCCCTAATGTTGCCATTAGCTGGGCGCCAGTGGCTCATACCTGTTAATCCTAGATACTTAGGAGGCTGAGATCTGAGTATCATGTTTCGAAGCCAGCCTGGGCAGGAAAGTCTGTGAGACTCTTATCTCAAATAAACTACTCAGAAGAGCTAGAAGTGGAGCTGTGGCTCAAGCGGTAGTGTGCTAGCCTTGAGTACAAAGAGGCTCAGAGGGCTGGGAAGGTGGCTCAGTGGTAAAGCACTTGCCTTGCATGCATGAGGCTCTGGGTTCGATTCCTCAGCACCAGATAAGCAAAAAGAAAAAAGCCGGAAGTGGCGCTGTGGCTCAAGTGGTAGAGCGCTAGCCTTGAGCTGAAGAGCTGAGGGACAGCGCCCAGGCCCAGAGTTCAGGCCCCACGACTGGACCAAAAAAAAAAAAACCAAAGACGCTCAGAGACAGCACCCAAGCCCCAGGACTGGCATAAATAAAAATAAATGTTGCTATCACTACCTTTCAGAAGTTGCCTGAATTATTTTGAGGTGGACAGCTACAGAGAAGATCTGGAAGTGACACTGTGGCTCAGAGTGATAGCACTGTAGCCTTGAGTGAAAGAGCACAGGGGCAGTGCCCAGGCTCTGAGCCCTGAGTTCAAGCCCCATGCCTGAGCCATCCCCACCCCCCCCCAAAAAAAAAAAAGTAAAAAGGCAGCTTTTAGCTGGGAGCTAATGGCTCATGCTTGTAATCCTAGCTACAGGAGGCTGATGATATCAGTTCAAAGTCAACCCAGGCAGAAAAGTCGCTGTGAGACTTTTTTTTTTGCTGGTTGTGGGGCCTGGGCGCTGTCCCTCAGCTCTTCAGCTCAAGGCTAGTGCTCTACCACTTGAGTCACGGTGCCACTTCCAGCTTTTTCTGCTTATGTGGTGCTGAGGAATTAAACCCTGGGCCTCATGCATGCAAGGCAAGCACTCTACCATTAAGCCACCTTCCCAGCCCCCTGTGAGACTCTTATCTCCAATTAGCCACCAGAAAACTGGAAGTGGCACTGTGGTTCAAAGTGGTAGAGTGCTAGCTTTGAGCAAAAGAGCTCAGAGACAGAGCCCAGGCCCTGGTTCAAGTCCTACAACCCACCAAAAAAAATTAGCGATCTGGTCTCCCGTCTAACACTAGTATAGCACCTTAGCCTGGGGCTAGAAAGGTCAATGGTAGGACATTGTCTAGTGTGCTTAAGCCCCTGGATGGGCTGGGAAGGTGGCTCAGTGGTAGAGTGCTTGCTTTGCATGCCTGAGGCCCTGGGTTCGATTCCTCAGCACCACATAAGCAAAAAAGAAAAAAAGCCGGAAGTGGCACTGTGGCTCAAGTGGTAGGGCTCTAGCCTTGAGCTGAAGAGCTGAGGGACAGCGCCCAGGCCCAGAGTTCAGGCCCCACGACCGGACCCAAAAAAAAAAAAAAAGGCCCTGGATTCCAAACGCAGTTATGGACATATATACTCCTCTGAACTTGCCACCATTTTACAAGCTGTTTTATTTGAGTCTTACGTTGTAGTAGGAAGACCCCTACTCAGGCAGGCAAGCCCACCTAGTCATCTGGAATGACAGAGCCCACCGCAACAAACTTGTTAACAAAGAAGCAACTTTACTGAGAAGGTTCCTACACTGAGTGGTCAGGGCTGCAGCACAGGCTCCAGTAACCCCAGATGGCCCCCATTCTTTGGTTTTTAAAGGCAAAATCCATGAGGTTGAGCCTGGTCACATGCAGGTGACCAATGGGATCGCAACACACAAAGGATTGTACAGTCATACCAGACTACACACAGGTGGCCAATAGGTGGAGTTTACCTTAAGCATGTGCAAAAGGCAGTTGGAGCCAGATTACAACCTATCTGTTTTATGGGTCAGTCTTTAACTCAACAGTCAAGGGTGGGTTAGGTTGTTCAGGAGAGGGGGACCAGATGCATTTTGTTCATTCTGGGAACTAGGCCCATCAAGTCTAAAATCCCTAAAACAAAGGCAAAGCTCAAAATGGAATCAGACCAGCTGGGGCCCCTTCTCAGGGTCCACTTCAATGTGTCTCCTTCCCCAAGAATATCAGGCCACCAGGAAAGCAGGGAGGGGATCTTTATTTTGGTCACTGAAACAAAAAGTAGTTAATCTTTTGGAATGTGCATATGTAAATGTGTGCTTTACCATGAGTCACAACCTCCATCTTTTTGGTGGTTAGTTGGAGACAAGACTCTCATGGGCTTTCTTATCTGGGCTGGCTGGCTTCAAACTATGATTTTCAGATCTCAGCCCCCAGAGTAGCTGGGGATTATAGAGATGCATGAGCCAGCTTGGTCAGAATTAAATGTATTTTTTTTTCATTTGGAGTGCTAGGGATGGAAAAGTTAGGACTTGAACATGGTTAAGTCTCCACTCTACCACCAAGCTAAACCCCTATATTTCAGTTAGCAATACAGAGCAAGATGAGCAGTCCAACAGCCTCTGGGAGGTCAGAGGCCACAACGGAAACAGCTAGAACAGAAGCCCTGGGCCCCAACAGGCATGGGGAACAATGGCCAAGGTGTTACATGCAGATTCCTGGCAACAATTCCCAACTGGGGGCCCAATTATAATTCTCCCCAGCTGTAAACCCCAGACATGGAGAGGGGGACTAAGATATTCAAAAGCCATTTAGCTGGGGTTTAGATTTACGGAAGTTTATGGCCAGAGCCAAGTGCTCAAGGTGTGATCTTCCTTGAGTAGAAGCAGGCCAGCAAAGTAGGGCAAAATGCGGCTCCCAAAGAGCAAAAGTTTATTCCTTCCGCCAGCATACTGCAGCCACAGCCCGTGGCACAGGCTGCGTTCTATTCAAGGGCACCTGCCAAGTAGATGCCTGTCACCCCGACCAGAGGGGTGCCTCTTGCTAATCTGAACAAGCTTGTCAGCTGCAAAGCACACTTCTGGCCTGTCCCCAGGGTTAGGACACTTCCTAGTTCCTGGTGCCTGCTTGGGGCTGGAGCCCAGGGCAAAGGGTGCCTGGCCCTGCCTGGCTCCCCAGGACAAGGCCCTTGGAGGAATGCAGGAGGGAAGGGTGGGGGAGGGTGAGGAATTCCCTGGGCAGGGAGGAAAGAGGGCTGGCACTAAGGGTGACTATCTTGGTTCATCTCTTCCATTTTTTGATGTCTCCATCTCTCACCTTGTGCAGGCCACAGAATTGGGGATACTCTGACAGAATGCGCCATGACCACCACCCAGACCCAGGACTGAGTCTGTGTGCTGGGATAGAAAGACTGGCTGCTTGGCTCAGAGGACGTCCCAACCTTTCTGGTAGTTTCTCCAACTATAAGAGTATGGACTGAGCTAGGCACTGGTGGATCATGCCTATAATCCTAGCTACTCAGAAGGCTGAGATCTGAGGATCCTGACTCAAAGGGCAGAAAAGCTTATGAGAGGCTGGGAATGTGGCCTTGTGGTAGAGTGCTTGACTAGCATGCATGAAGCCCCAGGTTTGATTCCTCAGTACCATACACACAGAAAAAGCCGGAAGTGATGCTGTGACTCAAGTGGTAGAGTGCTAGCCCTGAGCTGAAGAGCTGAGGGACAGCACCCAGGCCTAGAGTTCAAGCCCTATGACTGAGCCCCCCACCCCACCCCCCCTACACACAAAAAAAGAGCTGGGACTCAAGTGAGAGTACTGGCCTTAAGCAACAGCAGCTCAGGGACAGGAAAAAAATAACCCACAAAACAAAACAATGGAAGGCCAGTTCATCACCTTGGTGATGATGATGGCTTTCTTTTCCATTTATTGGCTGGAACTTTCCTGCCTCTGCCTCCCCAAGGCTGGAGCAAGAGAGGCATCCCCACATTCTACTATTGGTTCACACCCTTGGAGAGAACAGGCCTGCCCCCTCTGTTCGGTCCTGAAGAAGGGCCCATTCTTTCCTTTCCAGATGAGGAAATGGAGCCTCAGAAAAGCAAGAGGACACAGAGCCTTGCAGACCGCTCCCCTCTTCCTCCTGGCTGACTCACCCCTACAGCTCCACAGGTCAGGAAGGTGGGGGCATGGCTAACAGCCAGCAGCAGGGTGGAGGGAGGTGAGGAAGTCAAGGGAAGGAGGAAGCTCCCAGGGGACGGTGTGGAGATCTGTGCTAGGGCTCCCTCTGCTGGGCACAGGATAAAGAGCAGGACACAGCAGTGCTCGATCTACAAATCTTTATTGAACACCTGCAGTTACTGGGATGAGGCCATGATGCTGGACACACCTGGGGACAAAAGGAAGGAACCAGGGTGAGCTTGGGAAGAGTGGGAGGTGAGCCTTTAGCTGCCCACCCCTACCCTTCAGGAGTGGATCGCTAGCCCCCTGGAGAGCCAAGGTTACCACCACAAAGGCAATTTGATGTAGTAGATAACACAAAACCAAGGACTCCAGGACAAGGCCTGGGTTAGAATCTCAGCTTTTCTTGATGACAGCAGGTTAGCCTTGGGCAAGTTACTTAAGAGCTCAGTTTCCCCACAAGCAAGAAGCAGCTTCTCTGTAGGATTGTGGGGTTAAAAGGTGTGCCTGTCATCCCAGCTACGTAGGAGGCTGAGATCTAGAGGGATGTGGTTCAAAGCCAGCCTGGGCAGAAGTCTCCAAAAACACTGGTAAAAAGCCAAGATGGAAGTATGGCTCAAGTGGTAGAGTATCAGCTGAGTAGGCACAAAGGCTGAGTTTGAGCCTCAGTCCTGAAGTGCCTGGAATCACACTGGGTACTAAGTGCCATCACTATCAGCATCACAGTACTGAATCTGGACAGCCTGCCTCAAGCTGCTGGAATTCTCTCAGGTCCCAGCAGGGCATCGCCTGTACAGGGAAGGTCCATGGGGTAAAGGTAATCATCTTTGCTCCATTCCTCCCTTCAGCATCAAACCAGCCACTCTGTGCTCCGTGTTATTTCATGTGGTAAACATCACAGTGTTTCTACTAGCTGATGGACTGCAGTGAGCACATCTTCCTTACAGGATTGATGTCACCCAGTGGCCATCATTACTGTAAATGTCATTCTCAAGTGTTTTGTTTTGTTTTTTTTGGTGCCAGTCCTAGGGCTTCAACTCTGGACCTGGGCACTGTCCCTAAACATTTTTTGCTCTAGGCCAGCACTCTACCACTTGAGTCATGGTGTCACTTCTAGCTTTTTTTTTGTAGTTTAGTGGAAATCAGAGTCTCATGGACTTTCCTGCCTGGCCTGGCTTTGAACCATGAATCTCAGATATCAGCCTCCTGCGTAGTTTGGATTACAGGTGTGAGCCACTGGCACCCAGTTTCATGAGGAAATTGACACAGAGAGATAAGATCACCCTAAGCTGTGAGGTGGGAACTCAAATATCCCACACCACATGAACCCACTTCCAAAACCTGCTGGTGATACCCTGGACCCCAAAGGGACAGAGTGCCTGGGACTGCAGGGTGTGGAAACCCTGCCAGGCTAGTCTTCTAGGCTCTAGGGAGTTTTTTTTCTAGAGTGTGGCAGATGCAAATTTCTCAGCCCTGATTTAGGAAGAGATGGCCTCCCTGGGGCCCTCTGCGCCCAGTATGGTGTCTGTGGTAGGTGGGTGGCACTCACTGTCGAAGTCAATCTTCTCCACGATGTTCTTGGGCTTGATGCTCTCCTCCTGGCTACAGATGAAGATCTGTCCCGAGTCATCAGCACTCCAGCCGTACTTGCTCATCCACACCTTCAGCTGGTTGTCTGCAGGCGACACGGGAAGCACAGGGGGCAGTGCTAATGACACCAACCAACCTCTTCTGCCTGGATGGCAGCGGCCTCGCAGCCCTGGTAAATCTCCCTGCTGCCCTCCCCGTGGCCCATTCCCCACACGGTCACTAGAGGGCACCCCGGCTTTCTTGTCCTCCCCAGACAGGGCTTAGTCTTCACCTCTTCCCTTTTCTCTCCAGGCAGATTTCCTTCCCCACCAGCACTATGCCCAACATTAACACCGGGAGTAAGGCTATTTGACCCTGAAGAAACCAAACATCCTGCTAAAGCAGTGGCCAGCCATATTTTCTGTGGGACAATTACCAATTTGATACTGATCAGCCTTATCTTTCTTGGTTTTAAATTCTGAGGTGTGTGTCGTATTTTCCCACTTTTTCTTGGTAGGAGGCACAAGGTTTCATATATCCCCAGGATGGTCTCAAACTAAGATCCTCCTAACTCTGCCTTCTGAGTGGTGAGATTATAGTCAAGTACTTTCACATGCAGTCTATAAAAAGCTTTTAATGTGGGGCTGGGAAGGTGGCTCAGTGGTAGAGTGCTTGCCTTGCATGCATGAGGCCCTGGGTTTCGATTCCTCAGCACCACATAAGCAAACAGAAAAAAGCCGGAAGTGGCGCTGTGGCTCAAGTGGTAGAGCGCTAGCCTTGAGCTGAAGAGCTGAGGGACAGTACCCAAGCCTGAGTTCAGGCCCCATCACCGGACCCCCCCCCCCCAAAAAAAAGCTTTTAATGTCACTTCCCCCCCCCCCTAGTTGTGAGGCTTGGGCAGTATCCCTCAGCTTTTTGCTCAAGACTAGCGCTCTACCACTTTTGAGCCACAGCACCACTTCTGATTTTCTGGTGGTTAACTGGAGATTAAGAGTCTCTCAGACTTTTTTTGCTCAGGCTGGCTTTGAACTATGATCCTTAGATCTCAGCCTCAGAGTAGCTAGGATTACAGGTGTGAGCCAACTTCACTTTCAAATACACAAAACAGTTACTTAGCCGGTACCGGTGGCTCATACCTGTAATCCTAGCTACTCAGGAGGCCCACCCTGGCAGGAAAGTCCATGAGACTCTTATCGCCAATTAACCACCAGAAAACTGGAAGTGGCGCTGTGACTCAAGTGGTAGAGTGCTCCCTTGAGCTGAAGAGCTCAGGAACAGTGCTGGGGCCAAAAACAACACATCTACTTGGTGCAAAATACTTAGCATGTGCCAGACACAAAGTTAGCTTCCACTAAACACACACACAGACACACACACACACACACCTACTACTATCAAGACAAAAACTTGGCTGGGAAGGTGGCTCAGTGGTAGAGCGCTCGCCTTGCATACTTAAGGCCCTGGGTTAGATTCCTCAGCACCACACAGCAGAAAAAAAAAGTCGGAAGTGGCCAAGTGGTAGAGTGCTAGCCTTGAGCTGAAGAGCTGAGGGACAGCGCCCAGGTCCAGAGTTCAGGCCCCACAACTAGACCCCCCCCCCAAAAAACAAACAAACAAACAAACAAAAGACAAAAACTCTTCAAGGAGGGGCTGGGAAGTTGGCTCAGAGGTAGAGTGCTTGCCTCATATGCATGAGGCCCTGGGTTCAATTCCTCAGCACCACATAAGCAGAAAAAAGCCAGAAGTGGCACTGTGGTTCAAGTGGTAGGGTGCTAGACTTGAGCTCAAGAGCTCAGGGCCAGCACCCAGGCCCAGAGTTCAAGCCCCATGACTGACAAAAACAAAAAACCAAAAAACTCTTCAAGGAATGTCCCCAGGAGTCGACCCCTAAGCCCATCAGTGTCCTCTCTGTCTCAACTCCCTGTCCCAGACACAATCAGCAATCGTGTTAAGTCTTAGTTTTCCTTGCTGTTCTCTTTGCAAAAGTCAATGCATGAATATTCTGGTCTGTTTTGGTGGAAATTTTCAAAAGCACCCTTCCGATCTAGGCCCTCCCTGCTCAGGACCTTCTCTGGCTCATTCAGGTAAAAGGACAAAGGCCCCCAAGGCCTTAACCCCACAACTTGGAGGTTTTCCCTCCAATCACTTCCCCAGCTGTTGGGAGCCCTTGGGAGCTGACAGTAAAGCTCAAAGGTCATCTTGACCCCCGTCCTAGCTTAAAAGCATGTACAAGGAACTGGCTTACTTAAAAGACACCAGGTGCCCAGGATGATTGCTTTGCTATGCCTGCAGTTTGTTTTAAATTTTCCTTATTTTTCTGGACTACAGTAGAACGGCATGAGTGTGGGGGCCCACGAGGATGCACCGAGCCACATGTGCGGAACTCCCAATACCCAGGCTGCTCCCATGTTCTGAAGAGGACGACCTTACGAGATACTGACTTTTATATATGCCCAGGAATTAATTGAGCTGCTTCGGACATTTCTAACTGTGGTGGGACTGATGTTTATTACTGTGCTAGGTGGGGATGTGAGGTATCTGGGATGGGCTCATGCACAAGGGCCCTCCCTATCCTTGTCTGACGAATCTCACCCCCCCCAGACCTGCCTCGAACCCCCTGCGTGGCCAATGCTATTCTTACCAATGTAATCCTGTTAAAACAACCTTTACAGAGGAGGGAAAAGGATAACTAACTGGGAGGAGGGTCTGCCATTAAAACAAAAAAGGGGGAATCTGAGGGGGGGTATGATTGGGTGGGGGGGGGAGGGGGGAGGCTGGGAAGGGAGGTGAAGGGTAAACAAAGGAGGAGGCTGCAATGCTTGGTAAGAAATGTATGCATTATCCTGCCCATGTAATTGTAACCCCTCTGTACAGTATGTTCTCAAATAAAATAAAATTAAATTTAAAAAAAAAAAAAAAGGGGGAATCTGTAGGGCACATGGGCAGCAAAGATGGCGCTGAGATGGAGTTGAGTGGGCAGAGCCCAATTTGCCTTACGTTCAGTGCATAACCAGCCCGTGGAAGCTTAGGTGCATGATAGGATGTGACCTTGACAGTGATTGGATCCTCATCCTCCCCTGCCATGCCACCTGCTCTTTTTTTGCTTTAAAAATGGCTTAATAAATGAGTTTTTTCCTGCTGGACTTGACTCCCCGGTGTGTCTGATTGTCTCCCTGGCTAAGGGAGGCTGGGGAAAGGGCAAGTGGCCGCACTTACCTTTCCTCAGACCCCGTCCATTTTTCATGGGACGGACAAAGACCTGACACCCAGCTCTGGCCCCAGGCCCCCCCAGTGAACTGAAGGGCAGCCCTGCCCTGGTCCCCATCTGCCCACCTCAGTCCACTCTCACTGTCCTTCAGGGTCAATCACGCCAGGCCACAGACATCTACAAGAACAAGTCTCCAGTCTGCTGTTCGCAGCCACATGCCCAGCATGTCTGAACAGTGTCTGGCCCAGAGCTGGCTCAACTGGGTGTTGGATAGGAAGTGGACACGTGGTGCAGGAGCTCCCTGAGGAAGCAGTTTTCTCCCTGGGCTTGGAAACAGCCTAGATGGCTGAGGCCCAATGCCCATGCCTGCGCTCCCCGCTCCCAGGTTGGCCCAAGGACCCAGACCTTACCTGTCAGATCCCCAAGCATCTCAGCCAGCAGCCAGCGGTCGATGTGCTGGTATGTGATGCCCACCACATGGCAGATAACTGGTTGGGAACAAAGGTGTAATTGGATGCTACAGGGCCCTGCTGCCATCCCGGCCTCCCCTGCAGAGCCCATGCTTGGTCGACTTACACTTCCGCACAGAGTCCTCGAAGCCAGTTATGCCTTCCAGAAGGTCCATGTTCTCATCCAGGGCTTGCTGAGAGGAGGAGGGTAGAGGGTTACCACTAGTAGCAGTGATCGGGTTAAAGTGTGGAAGGCCAGGCAGGATTCCAAGCTCACGGCCAGCCTGGGACATGTAGCGAGACCCTAGTGTGTCTCTATGTCCCCATTACTGCCATTGTACTCACTTTAGCACAAGCCTGGAGACTAAGACACAGCAACTAAGTGACTGGCCTACAAGCATGGGTTTAAAGCTGGCAGATGGGAATAGCAGCCTCCAGAGAGAGGACACATGCAGATCAGTCAACCTTCGGGCCAACGTCCCCTGGCCCAAGCCCCATAGGATTTATGTGCCACTTCTGTGCCATTACTCTACCCATTTTGCCCTCACTAGCCTCCAGCCTCTGGGCCTCTCTGATATACCAAGCACCCACCCATCTCAGGGCCTTTACATTGCCACAGTGCCTGGAACCCCACTCCCCCCATGACTGCCCCTTGCCCCTCAGGAACAGCAGCCAGTGAGCTAGAGGAAAACTAAAGAGAACAGCTGTCCTGGGAGTCCCTGGTGAAGGGCTGGAGGATGCCAGATGAGATCACCCACATGGAGGCCAAAGGGACAGGTTAGGATGAGGCTGGCCTACCGGATCCAACAATGTGGAGAGCACTAGAGAGATCTGACAGGAGCAAACTGACTTCTGAGATAGGGTCTTCTATTCTCCCAGGCTTGCTGAGGTTATGAACAGTGTATGTGTGGAGGAGCAGGGGCAGGTCAAACCCCACTCTACATGAGTACAGGGAGCAGGAAGCAGAGCAGAGGCAGCCTGTCTCAGAAGGCTAACTGACAATGCCAACTTGCCCATCTGACATGACTTTCTGGAATGTGAGGCTTTCAGGGCTTTTGTTTTTGTTTTTTTTTAAAGCAAGCAACTGTCTGAAATTTCTATAACCTTGCTCTGGATGGAGCAGGACAAGGCCTCAAACCCTTTCAAGATTGTTCTGGCAAGCTCTGTAGGAATGCACAGGGCCACAGCAGACCCAAGCACGCTGGAGGCTTGCTAAAGGCTTTATATGAAAACCAGGCCAGGTGCCCGTGGCTCACACTTGTAATCCTAGCTATTCAGAAGGCTGAGATTTGAAGATTACAGTTAAAGCCAGCCCAGCCAGGAAACTCATCCCCACCAAACTACGAAAAAAGCTGGAAGTGGGGCTATGCCTTAAGTGGTAGAATGCTAGCCTTGAGCCTCTTAGGGACAGAGCCCAGGCCCTGAGTTCAAGCCCCAATACTTGCAAGAAACAGAGCCAGCTGGCCCCTGGCACAGAGCCCAACTAGAGAGGGCAGAGGGGAGGGACAGAGCTGGTGGAGGAGGGGGCAGACCAAAGAGAACGCCTTTTCCCAGCATGCAGCCATGATGCAAACTGCACTGGAAGGGCAGGCGGGACATTAGAAGGGTAGATAATAGCTGTGTGTTGTGGTGAGGGGTAAGGGAAGGTCTCCAGGGGCGGAAGGTGACCTTGGTCAGTTTCTCTGAGGTCACAGAAAAGGCTATACACAAGGATATGTGTGAATCTTGCTCTAGCTTTTCTTATTTTAAATTTAAATTCCAGGCTGGGCTTGCCTGTGTGCTCCTGGGCTCTCTCCAGCTGTGTTCACCCTCTCAGGTCCAGCTGTGCAGGGAGAGCACACAGACTTATGGTAAGGAAGAAAGCAGAGCTCCTTGGGGCCTGAATATGGAGGTCAGGTGGCTCAGTGTGAGGTTGGACATCTTACAGGAGCTGAAAAGCTGGAGGAGAGCATGGGGCACAGGGCGTCCACCAAGCACACATCCACCAAGCCAGCTGCTCCCCTCACCCACCCCACCCACAGACCAAGGAAGTTACCCAGAAAGCCTGGAAGTGGCAGGTCTCTAGCAGGTCCCCGAGGTACAAAATCTGCCGGATAGGCCGTTCTTCTTGCTGGGGGGAGGGCATGTTAAGGGAAAATGGCCACGAAGCCCAGGGAGGCTGGGGTCAAGGCCTTAGAGCATAAATCTGCCCACACCAACTGGGGATTCCAAAGCTTTCCATGGTTCTCCCATGCCGTGAAGCCAGCCCCATTCCGCTGAGAAATGGTGGCTTGCCCACATTGCGATTATCCCACAGTATCTACGGCAGCTCTGAACGCTTCCTTCCCGCCTTCCTCCCAGGTGCTCTCTGGGGTCACCCTTGCCTTCCCTTGGCTTTCATGCATTCTCAATCTCAGGAGGCTTCCAGAACCTAGGAAAGGGGGGTGGGGCATGTCCTGCTGGTTCCTCCAGCCCCAGCGCTGACCATGCTAGGCTGTCAAGGACAGAAGTCTGGTCATCTCCTCACTGGACTGTGAACCCTGACTGAAAGCAGAGCCAGGCCATCCCATTACTGCAGTGTCCCGCCCAGGTGAGCGAGCCTGGGCCAGTTCCTCCATGCCCAGTGTAGGACACAGTGAAGGATACATGTGCCTGGTCGATCATGCACTTGCACAAGGTGAAGTCGGTGTGGGGCAGGTTGGTGAGGGCCTTCAGCAGGATCTGGGCAGTGACCGTGGTCTGAAAGAAGGCTGGGTTGAACTGGTACCTGAGGAGGGACACAAGAGACATGGCACAGTGGCACCCCCAGGTCCCCAGGCTTTGCCGGGTGCCACTGCTTTACTCTGGAGCTTGAGAGTTGGGCAGGCCTGCATTCTAGGCCCAATCACACTTTCTGGCAGAGGAACCCTAAACTTCAAGCTCACTTCTCCTGGCTGAAGATGGGGACAGTAAATCCTCATGCCCTCTACTACTGAGCCACATTCCCAGCCCCCTCACAAACACCTAATAGGGGGATACTAGTTTGTGAGGAGAGCCAGGTGTGGTGGCTCAAGACTGTAATTCTAGCTACCTGGGAGGCAAGAGATTAGGGGATCACCGTTAGAGGCCAGTCTTAGTTGAGACTCTATCTCAACCAACAGCTGGGTGCACCGGTATGTACCTGTCATCCCTGGTAACATAGGGAAACACAGTAGGAGGGTCATGGCCCTAAGAGACCCCATCTCAAAAATGATCAAGCCATGGGCTAGGAATGTGGCTTAGTGATAGAGTGCTTGCCTAGCATGTATGAAGCCCCAGGTTTGATTCCTCAGTACTACATAAACAGAAAAGGCTGGAAGTGGTAGAGTGCTAGCCTTGAGCAAAAGCAGCTCAGGGACAGTGCCCAGGCCCCGAGTTCAAGCCCCAGGACTGGCAAAAAAAAAAAGGGGGGGGGGGAGGGGGAGAAGGAAAATGACCAAGGCAAAAAGGAGATGGATGCAAGAATGAAGTGGTAGAGCTCCTGCCTACCAAGAAAGAGGCTGAGTTCAATTCCCAATGCAAAAAGGGGAGGTGGGGGGGGGGGGAGAAGAGGAGGGAGCAATAATTTAGGTGGTACAGCTCTGGAGCCCACTAAGACTAGGTTCAAACATCTTTGAATGGCCTTTGAATGCTTATTTAAAATTCAGTGACTCAGTTTCCTCCCTCCCCAAAGAGGAGACTGGGAATCCACCTTGGGGGTAAAGCCAGTGCTTAGCATACACAAGGCCCTGGGTTCAGTCACTAGGCCACAAACACAACTGAGGTCTCAAAAAGCCCAGGGATGGAGACGTCGCTCATAGTAAGCACATGAGGAGGCCCTGGGTTCCATCCTCACACCACAAACACCAACCAAATGGCCAAAACCCACTAAGAAAACTAGCAGCCTGGTATTTAGTACTCACTGAGTACTTACCAGGCAGTGGATAACAACATCCAAACCATCCCCAGAAACACCACTGCTTTTCCATTACACACATGGGAAAACCACCCTCCACACTGTGTTGAGAAAGGACCCAAGGGGAAGAACCTAAACAACCCACCAAGAGAGACAGAGTCTTGATGTTCCATGAGTATACCAGTACTAGGGTGTGAACTCAGGGCCTGGGCACTGTCCCTCAGCTCTTCAGCTCAAGGTTAGTGCTCTACCACTTGAGCCACAGCGCCACTTCCGGCTTTTTTCTTATGTGGTGCTGAGGAATCGAGCCCAGGGCCTCAAGCATGCAAGGCAAGCCACTGAGCCACCTTCCCAGCCCCAGGGCCTCAATTTCTTGCTCAGCTTTTTTACTCACAGTTGGAGCTTGAGCACTTAATGGGTTTTTGTTAATTGGAGAAAAGCATCTCCAATCTACTTAGGGCTTTGTCTGCTTGGGCTGGCTTTGAAGATCTCAGCTTTCTAGGATTATAGGTGTGAGCTACTGGAGCCCAGCTGGTAATATTAGTATTTTTTTTTTTTTTTGGGTCGGGTACTGGGGCTTGAACTCTGGGCCTGGGTGCTGTCCCTCAGCTCTTCAGCTCAAGGCTAGCGTTCTACCACTTGAGCCACAGCGCCACTTCTGGCTTTTTTCTTTTTGCTTATGTGGTGCTGAGGAATCGAACCCAGGGCCTCAGGCTTGCAAGGCAAGCGCTCTACCACTGAGCCACCTTCCCAGCCCGTAATATTAGTATTTTAAAAGTTGGCCCCAAACTTAGTGGGCTGCCTAGTTTTGCATCCTAAAGATACTGCAGGCTGCTCCAGACACCCACCCACCCAGGGCTGTCAGGAATTAGCACTTGCTTGCTAGCTGCTGGCCCGGAGTGGGGAGGGGCTGGATAACTCACAACTTCAGGACCGCCAGGTTGGCTTCCAGATCATAAGCATTCTCCTTGGCCTGAGTCTCCACATAGCGCTCCAAGGTGGCCAGATTCTCAGGATTGTACCTAGAGGAGAATCAGGGTGGGTAAACAGTGGGATGTGGTTGGTCTAACATCTGTCATTCCAACATCTAGGGGGCTGAGGCAAGACTCTCTTGAGATTTCAAAGCAAGCCTAGGCCACACAGAGTTTGAGGTCAGCTACGGCTACGCAGTGGAATCCTGCCCCATATAACATAAAATGGTGTCCAGAGAGGAGACAGAAGTTAAGGGATACTAATCTGTCCCTCCTTTCTTCCCTACGTCCAGCCCCTCTAAAAAAATCCGGTCCTGATCACCAACTCTACTCAGTGAGTCAACTCTACAACCCCTAATAAAACCTCCAGCAGACCTCTCCAGACCCCAATGAACCCCGGGGTGGTTTGGGGAACGCCCACCACCACCACATCCAGCCAATTACTGCTCCACAAGAACAACATCTATGGCTTTATGGATCACTTCTGGTTCCCGAGATTGCCCACCATTGACAGAGCAGACTTCACTGAACAACTGGACGGAGGATATACCCGGCAAGGAAGGGAGGTACTGAGAGACTTGAGGGGGCAGAGAGGGAAACTAAGGAACTCAGTCCGAGCGCGAGATCTCTCCGGCGGCTAAGCCTGCCTAAACATCCTCAGGCATCTCCAGGATGACCTCTAGCAGGCAGAAAGACCGAGAAACCCTCACCTAGGGGCAAGCTTAAGACCCTGACCGGATATCCCGTCCTGGCTGTCTCCGAAAATCTCCTGTCTTCTACCCCTGCGGGGCCAGAACGACCCCTCGGACCCAACTCAGACCTGTCGATACCCTTGAGCAACTTGCCCACGTTCGCTCTCATCTGCTCAAACATCGCCATGACTACACTCGCGCTCTGCTGCCACAAACAGACGAAAACAGGCCCCGGCGGCTCCTCGAGGAGCAGAAGAGGAAGAGGGGACGGAAACGGAAATACGTCACGTTCCTCACCTCACAGCTCGGCGCTGGGACGAGGAGGGGGCGGGGCCAAGAGCTCAAGAGAAGAAGGGAAAGGCTTTTCTGACAGCAGCAGCGCTTTCCGGCTACCACGTGACTCCTGCCCAGTAGTCGTACTTCGCGCGTGCGCACTCGCCCCGCCCCTGCGGGGGCCAAAGGCGTGTAAAAAATAAAAAGCTTAGTCGGTTGCAGTGCGCGTGCGTCTTTTCTTGGGGCCAGGGGGCGGGGCTAATTCCCCCACCGCCCTATCTAGACCAGTGAACGAGTCCTGTAGTCTAGGACGCATGCGCGCCCTACCTCTCTGCTAACAGCGCGCGCTTTCGTCGGGCTGCGCTTGGCCGCAGATGCAGCGAGTAGCTCGCGCGGGGACGTCGTAGTTCTTCCTTTGGGTCATGGTCACGTCCCAAGGGTTGGGGACTCTCTGAGGTCTTCCTGGCCCCCCTCCCCCGAGGCAGGATCTAGCATTCTGACTTTCCTAGTTTGAGATCTGGGTTCGGGTCCCCACGCTTCGTTCCAGTTCCCGGAGAAGAGGGCTCACTAAGCTGAAGTCCTCACAAAGCAACACCCGCTGCTAGCTGCGGGCGGGCTCCTCTTCTGCACTCTAAAATTGTGCATAGATTCTGTACACTGCATGTATATTATATAATGCACGGGCATATGCCTTGTGTGCAAGCGTGTTCCAAATATACCCACGTGTGTACACATAAAAATCCAGATACCAGGCACCACAGCCAGGAGCTGATGCTGAAGTGCGTGTTTTGTATGTGTTCTAGGCGAGCCGAGCCATCCTCTGTGCAGACCTGCAGCCTCTGATTAGAGCTAAATTTTAAGCATCCAGCCGAGAGAGCTTTCAACTATGGTTTGTGGGCCCTCCTAGAACAAGGAAGGGGTGTTAGAACACACATGGTCCCCCCCCCACACCCCACCTCATTGCAATTAAAATAGTTTGCATCTCATTTGCATTCAGCCCTGAGCTTTAAGGAGGGGGGCGGGTGTCCCATGGGTCCCCAGGCACAGTGCTCTTCACACCCAGGGGACAGGGGGTGGAGCCCTTTGCAGAACCCTGCAGCTGGGGCAGGAAGCGAGAGTGGGGAGGGGGAAGGCCACAGCCCACAGAGATAGGCAGGCACAGGGCTTGTGGGGAACCTGGAGGGAGGGAGGTGCCAGCGTTGGAGCCCTGAGGCCCTGCTTGGCCCCTGGGCACGGGCCCAGCTCCCATCCTCCGGGGATGGACCTCATGGACCACGACATCTTTAATAGGGATCCCCGAGATCACTATGATCTGCTGCAGCGGCTGGGTGGCGGTACCTATGGGGAAGTGTTCAAGGTGAGAAAACCCTTCTGTCTCCATCACCCTCAGACCGATATCTTTAGGGTGAGACCTGGGAAAGGGAGAAGGTGCAAAAAGGCCCCCATACTTGGTCTTGATCCTGGGACGCTAAGAAACTCAGGCAAATGGAGCCTGCCTAATGGTCAACTTCCCCTTTACAAGGCTCGTGACAAGGTGTCTGGGGACCTGGTGGCACTGAAAATGGTCAAGATGGAACCTGGTAAGTGAGGACCCTGGAACTTTGAACTCCCTCCCTTCACCCCACAGCCTGGGACATTAGGACCATCTCCCTCCCTGTAATTCCCAACCTACAGACCCCTTTTCCTGCCCTTCCTAACAGATGATGATGTAGCTACGCTTCAGAAGGAAATCCTCATGTTGAAAACTTGCCGACATGTCAACATCGTGGCTTACCACGGCAGCTACCTCTGGTGATGAGCCTCAGACCCCTTATTTCTGACCCCTAACTTGATCTCTAACCCTCAACTGCTACTTTAAATCAGGACACTCTTACCTTACCTTCAACTTTGACACTTACTTTTTAACTGGGACACTTCAGCCTTCTCTCACACTAGTTCATTTTTTTTTTTTAAATCACTGCACCCCTTCATCTAAACCCCAGTTGGAACCTCTTATTTCTTCCTAGGGTTCTCCAAATGAATCCCTTCATTAATAGCAATCCTGAAATCAAATCCCCCCAAAGGAACTTATCAATAGTTTGCCCTTTGAGTTGCCCCCGTTTCACTCTGCTCCTTTAATATAAGCTCTTAAATTCCTGACCACCCCCCCAAAAAATTAATATCCTGGATGTTCCAATAATGACCTCAATTCCCCCCAAACCTGGCATTCTGGAGCCTTTCATTCCATCCACAGCTCTGCAAGCTGGAGAGATCTTCTTTCCTGTCCCTTAGACTAGCCCAGGACATCAGAGATATACTAGATTCAAAGATCTATATTTGAGTTAAAATCCCCAATGTACATTTCCTGTCTGAGCCTCAACTTCATCTGTCCAGTGGCCTCACTCTGTGGGCAAGGGGAGCTGGTATATTTTTGTTTTTCTCCAACCAGTAGCAGTTGTCCTTGTAAGGAATAATTCATGAAGTATTATTGATATTATCATTGTTGCTTTTCAATGACTGTAGGTTGCAGAAGCTGTGGATATGCATGGAATTCTGTGGGGCTGGTTCTCTTCAGGATATTTACCAAGGTTAGAGGAAGGACTAGGTCATGGAGGACCTGCCCTTTACTCCTCAAGGCCACCTCTTCTGCTTCTCTGGGTTTCGGACTTGGGGAAGTGTTCCTTCTCTACATTGCATGCAAAGTGTGGTGGGTTTGGCCTACATTATGCTGGGAATCCCTCTAGCATCTAACAGTCCAGCCCCAGTCTTTCTGTGTGTGAGACTTGCTTTAACTCCCTCTCTCTATCTTTATCTAGGTATCAGCCTCTTGCAAAGGCCTACTTGTGTTGTAGTTAAACTTTTTCTTTTCTTTTTTTTTTTTTTCTTCTTCTTCTTCTTCTTTTTTTTTTTTTTTTTTGGCTCATACTTAGATGCCTAGATTTTTGTGGAATGTGGGAATGAATTTCTGGTCCTTTCTGCCTCTCAGTCTCCTTAGAGAATTTGTTGGTAGAGTTAGGGCGGGATACTGATTACCTCTCTGAAGTTTTGGAGGGGTGTGTGTGTGTGTGTGTGTGTGTGTGTTGATATTGGGGCTTGAACTCAGGACCTAGTTGGTTTTTCCTTAGCACTTTTTTTTTTTTTGGTGGTGATGGGGAGGAGATACGGTCTGGGTGCTGTCCCTGAGCAATTTTGCTCAAAGCTAGTGCTCTACTGCTTTGAGCCACAGCTCCACTTCCGGATTTTTGGTGGTTCATTGGAGATTAGAGTCTCTTGGACTTTCTTGCCCTAGTTGGCTTCAAACAGATGATCAGATCTCAGCCTCCTGAGTAACTAAGATTACAGTCGTGAGCCACGAGTACCCAGACATATCTCTTTCAAAATATGTCTATGTCTTCCTACAGCATAGTTTCTGTCTGCATCCTCCTTTCTGTGTCTCAGCGGGGCTCTGTGCCTTCATCTCTGCCCTTGTGCCTCTGTCCCTTGCTTATTCCTCACTCCCAGTTCGAGGTCTTTCCACAGTTTCTATTTCCCTCCAGAAAAGCTCCAATTTCCCACGTCCACTGTGGCCAAGCCCACTTGCGCTGGCTGGTCTTTCCTCTCCCTCTGCTACCCCACTTTCCTCAGTCTCCCCAGCCCCAGTTCCTTCTCACCTGCTACCTCTAAATTAGCTCTTGCTCTTCTCCCTCTGAGTGGGACACCTTCTTAGGTGGCCGTACTGACCACTTTGTCAAATATCAAAACCCTTCCCACACATTTCCTGTTGACTTTGCTTGCTCTGTTTTTCTTCTATTTATTAGTGTGTGTGTGTGTGTGTGTGTGTGTGTGTGTGTGTGTGTGCATGTGTATGTGTGTATTATGTACTTCTCTTTTCTTTTTTTTTCCCCTGATGGCTAGGAATGAACCTAGCTAGCACATGCTAGGCCAATACTTCCAGCCCTATGTAATATACATATTACATATTCATCTTGTTTACTATCTGGAATATTCTCTCCATAAATGCAGGGATGTTGTTCTGTGTGTGTGTGTGTATATGTGTGTGTGTGTGTGTGTGTGTGTGTACCAGGAAAAGGACTTGAACTGAGGGTCCTTATGATCTTGCTTGGCTTTTTTTGCTCAAGGCTGACATTCTACCACTTGAGCCACATGTCTACTTCTAACTTTTTGCTGGTTAATTGGAGATAAGAATCTCTTAGATTTGTCTGCTCAGGCTGGCTTTGAACGTGGATCTTCAGCCTCCTGTGTAGCTGGAGTTACAAATGTGAGCCACTAGCATCTGGCACATGGTATAAACACAATAATCTGCTGACTGTCCCCTCTAGACTGTGTGGCTATATGTCCCTGGGGCCTTTCTTTTTTTTTTTTTTTTTTTTGGGTCCGGTCGTGGGGCCTGAACTCTGGGCCTGGGCGCTGTCCCTCAGCTCTTCAGCTCAAGGCTAGCACTCTACCACTTGAGCCACAGCGCCACTTCCGGCTTTTTTCTTATGTGGTGCTGAGGAATCGAACCCAGGGCCTCGAGCATGCAAGGCAAGTGCTCTACCACTGAGCCACCTTCCCAGCCCCTGTGGGGCCTTTCTTTGTCACCCGCAATGCCTCCATCTCATCTGCTTACTTGTCCTGTCCTGGGTCTCCGTCCCCTCTACTATCCTCTCAGCTGGTGTGGGCAGGATCTGGGGCCTCCAGGGCCCAGGTTTCCTGGCTCCCACCCAACATGTGGCCTGGCTGGTGTTGTAGTGACTGGCTCCCTGTCCGAGCTCCAGATCAGCTATGTCTGCCGGGAAGTGCTCCAGGTAAGAAGGGATCTGGGAGGGGTTACAGGAAGAGGGGGGGGGGTCTTGTGCTAGCTCCAGATCACCCCCTCCCACTGGTGGCTCTTCTCCTCCCCCCAGGGACTGGCCTATCTGCACTCCCAGAAGAAGATACACCGGGATATCAAGGTGAACTGGAGATGAGGGACTGGGGGATGGGGGGGGGGGAGGGAGCCCAGGAAATGGAAGCCACAGTTGGGGTGGGGGGTGGGGTTCAGGTAC